CAATCGTTTGATTAGAAGACGAGTTCAAACAGGCGCACCACTTGACCATTCTATCCACATCAACATCTCGACGCACGGTAGACCGTGCGGGCGTGCCCGCGCACAACCGCACAGCATCCAAAAGCAGAAAGCCACGTGTTAACGCACATCCCCTCGGCCCGGAACCCCAGGCCGTGAGATTTGCGCAGCCGACACTTTTGGCACGCCCGGTGGGACACTTGTCAAAAACTCATGGTGGAAACTAGGGCACAGGCAAAGCTAAAAAACAAAGCAGTCGAAATGACTTCTGAGACTCCTGAGTCCACCTCACCCATCACTGTCACCGAGACCGAACATGCAGTCAGAATCTCGTCCAGCGTCCCAGTGACGACGGATCGCACGGCCGAGTCCATGCAAGAACAGGCCGTGGTGGAAGATTTGATGTCTAAGTAGGCCCACAGGATAGAGACATCCTTTATGGCCGCAATGGACAGATCTTCCTCGGAACTACGGACACTTTTCCAGGAGAGGACGCCGACGACCTCGCCCGCAACACCTCCTAGAGCCGGACAGAGAGGCTAAGAGCGCGAAAGGATCGAGCCCTACGGCGAAAGCAGCAGCCTCGGCATCTCTGGCCGAACCCAAGCGTCAGGTTACGGTCCCAGCCCGCATAGGCGAGCCTCGGACCAACCTACCCGGCAGAGACAGCATACGGCCCACTTCACGTTTTGGCAAAAGCGTTAGGGCAGGGCAGCCCTGCGTCGTCTACGGTCCAGCAATTCGGCCCAACCCACACTTTGGCCAACCAGGCGCAGCCCGGCCAGAGCAACGCGACAGAAGCATCATCACAGCGACACGATCGGAATGGCTTGGCCGCTGCACTACCAGTACAAATACACGATCCGGCCATTCCGACGACAACGCAGACGCACCTAGGTTCCCATTATGATGAGATCCAACAGAACCAGGTGGCCATACCTCGATGGCCGGCGGACCAAACGTACCTCGATCAAGCCCACGGCGTTCCTCTAATACTACCCGGCTCGGTCGCCGCGGCCGAGCCCTTTGCTCGAACGACCCAGCAAGTAAAGCCGCGAAATGATGCGCAACGGGGTAGGTCTTTTCAAGGGTTTCGGCCCGAAGATATCCGGCCTATCACGAAAGACGGTTTAACACAGGGGCAGCCGGGGGCACCAAGTTACACAAAGCCGTACCTATCAAGGAAACCCAGGGTTTGGCGCAACTTATTTCCTAAAGCTTTTCCGGCACGCCGCACCTCAAAAAACTCGGTCATAGACACATCTCCTTGCGTCTTGGCCTATGGCCATGACACCGATGGACTATTGGAACCGGGGGTGCGATTTCTTCAAATTATCAAGCAACATAGCCAAAAGGAGAAGGACTACTCGCAAACCATGCCCTGGAGTTCAGAAAATTTAGAACAGCCGAGACTCGACGCTTGCAACTCGGTGCAAGTTCCAGAAAAAATGGCACCGAGGGCCTACGACAAAAAAGTCAAAAAGAAAAAGAGGGGGAAGTAGGCGAGCGAGTTAAACAAACGGTGCGGTCAACATAAGGCGAGAGGCATACGTTTGATCTTTTAGGGAAAAAGGCCCTGGCCTTATATTTAGATTAAAAAAATTTCTTTACAATAAGGGTGAACGGCCAGTCGTGGCCGATCAAAAGAAAAAAATAAACACAGATGTCAATACAAAAGTATATATATATATAAAATAAAATGCATGTATGTGGTTAATTATTACATCCCAAAAAATATTTAAAACAGCCGCTCGCCGCTCGCCTAGACCCCTTTGCTGAACATCCCCTAGATCAAGCAGGTGATCCTTCTCCAAGCAATATCCCCGCCGTCTATGTCCGCCTGCCATCTCGCCCAGATCAGCTTCCTCTCGGCCAGTGCCTTCTTCGTCTCGGTCGTTGCTTTAAGGATTTGCCTGGCCGAAGACTTCAGCTCGGTCCTGACCGCGACCGCGTCATCTCGGCGTTGAAGTATGAGGTTTCAGCGGGCCTGGAGCTCGGCAATCTGAGCCTCGACCTGCGCAAGTTCTTCATTTTCTCGTTGGACAACGAGGTCATTTTCTTTCAATCGGGCCATCGCAGGTCGGACTTGTTCCTTTATCTCCACCAGCTCTTGCTCGAGCGAGCTTCCCTCGGCCATCCTCATAACGGCTTCAGCATACCGGCCGATCATCTCCTCGCCTTCTGCCAGACGGGCTTGCAACTCATCCAGCTGAGCCGAGTTCAGCAGACCGAGCGCCATAGCCGTATCCAGGCAGGACCTGAACTCCATGAATGCCTCGGCGGTGGTCATTTGATGAACCCCAAAGAAAAGGAACTCTCGGAGCCGTTCAACGACGGTCCTAGAATCCTCGTCCAGGGGAGCCGAGGTTGAGCTACCTCCTTCCTCATGGAGGCTGGCGTATAACTCCTCAAGATCATCGGAGGAGGTGGTCTCCTGAAAAGAAAAAAGAAGAAGAAAGGTTTAGGTGAGAAACAACCAGCTGGGACATGACGAATGACAAGATAAGGAAAAGGGCCGAACACTCACGGCAGTGGCGAGCGTAGCAGCAGGAACTTCTGTGACCGAAAGCTCGGTCAGGACCGCCGAAGTAGCCCACAGGGGACTTGGCACACTCGCGATCATGGCCCCGGTTACCACCAGCTCGGTCACAACCGTCGAGTCCTGGGACAATGGCGCTGGGGGCATGGTCGCAGCAACCATGGACAGCGGCGGCGACGATCGGGGAGGCTGGAAGCAGAGAATTCGGTCAGACGCATGTGGCGCAATTTTAAAAATAAAGCCAAGTATAATAAAAGCAAACGCTTACCGGCCGGAACACAATGCCGCTTGGACGACGGGGAGCGGACGGGAACGGCTCGGCAAGCGCGGTAGCAGCCAAGGAAGGCACGACAGAAACAGCCGAAAGGACTTCCGCTAGGGCGGTCCGCGTTGGTTCCACGACAATGACTTCATCGTCTAGCACGACCGCAGCGGCTTCCTCGGCGGCCTCTTCAGCGGCCTCCTCAGCAGCCAACACCTCCGCGGATGCTGACTCGGCATCCAGCATCTCTACCACCTCGGCGGCAGTGGCCGTCCTCTCAACCACCGCCACCGCGGTGCCCACCTCCTCGACCATCATCTCGGCAGCGGCCGCTTCCTCGATGGCAGGCTCCTCGGCAGCAGCTTCCTCCTCGACCACTACCTCGTCCTGAGGAAAGAACCAGATTACCAAAAGTATATAAAAAGGGGAGGGGGTGACCTGGAGGATAAAGAAGAGGGAAGAAATCGAGGAACACTTACGGCCACAGGAGGGGCTTCACTTACAACCGCAAGAGGGGCTTCCTCCTAAGTTGGGTGTTTAGAGGGACGAGTTCAAACAGGTGCACCACTTGACCATTCTATCCACATCAACATCTCGACGCACGGTAGACCGTGCTGGCACGCCCGCGCACAATCGCACCGTATCCAAAAGCAGGAAGCCACGTGTTAACGCACATCCCCTCGGCCTGGAACCCCAGGCCGTGAGATTTGCGCACCCGACACCACCCACCCCCTGACCTCTCTCTCTCAAACCTCCACCATCGCCACCATAACATGCCAGTCACAAGAACCCACCCACATTCATAGAGAAAAAATATAAGATAATTTCTAAATTGATTTTAAAACCTAAACTTTGAGTACATGTTCAGATATGCATTAACTTCATTCAATTCAAGCTATGCACCACTAGTTTTACTTCCTTGACTGAACCCATTTCCTTAAAATGTCAAACTCTGACCCAAAAACCTGACCTTGTTTGGGTCCATGGCCTTCCGCTTTGGATTCTGCCTCAAGTTCTCTAGCAAGACCAATGGCAGTGATTCGTCTCAGATATCATTGTCGTTGCCCCGACCCCGAGAGCCTAAAGCCAGACTAATCTCAAAGTAGGACGGGCCCGACCTCAACCGGCTCTGAATGGTGCGCTTGAGCACAAGGTGGCTGCATCAAAATGGTGAAAAGAGGATTGAGTCATGATTAATTAGTTGAAGTGAGTGAGAAGGACAACATAGAGAGAGAGAGAGAGAGAGAGAGAGAGAGTAGGTAGCACAAGGTCGACGGGTTGGGGCTCAGAGAATTGGGGACGGTATTAGGCTGGGGTGGGTTGAGAGATTATAGGTCGTTGGGGAGGGAGGGTGAGGATGATGGTTTTGTTTTGTTTTGTTTTTTTTCCTATTGTTATTTTATTTTAGGCTTATTTACTGTAGCACCCCTGAAATTTCAGTCAAATCCCACCTAACCCCCCCTCCCTAAAAAGTTAAAATGACCCACTTAACCCCCTTGACCGTGGTTTTGTGTTCCACTTTCCCCCCACCGTTAACGCCATCCAAAACTCTATTAAATATGATGACTTGGCATATGCTTTTTGGTAATTTCATCCATATGTCCCCTTTTAAAATAATTTAAAGAAAACTTTATAAGAGCCTAAATTAAAATAAAAAATTAAAGCCAATAGCCACCATATTCTCCACATCCCACCACCACTCCATCAGCAAACCCAACCGCACTAGCCCACCCCAAATTCAAGCCCTATCACCATCGCAATCCAATCTCAACCATCAACGCCCAACTTCAAGAACAAGCAAGAATCGAGAGGCATATAATCCAAATCTGCCGCCCCTCAATCTTTTTTTTTTTTTACTTTTCTTCAAAACCTCTCAATCTCCGCTTTTGGACTATGGTGAGGGGGCCTACGTTGTTGAGTTGTGGGGATCGGTCACCTGTGATGGGAAAAAGAGATGAAGAGGAAGGGATGGTGCTACCCCTTCTCCCTTAATTAACATGCTAATCTCCTAAAAGGAGATAGCATACATATGGGGTTTTTTGCTTTTGGTTTCTGGGTATTCATGGGTTTTGATCCATTTGTTGTGTGGTGAATTGGTTGTGTATTGGTTATGGGCTGTGAATGATTGGATCTAGTGGGGGGATGGTGGTTGCCAAGTTTGTAGGGGAAAGTGTGGCAGATCGGTGTGTGCTGGGGTGTGGTCTACCATGGGGGGGTTGAGGGTGGGGATGAAGTTCAACTTCAGGGTGATGTGGGCAGCTTGGGAAAGATTAGGGGAGATGGTGGCCGTAGGGATGAAGGTCGGGGCTGTGATGCCATTTTTTTTTTCCGTACTAATATTTCAATTTTAAAATTTTTGTTTCTTTTTTCTTTTGGATTTTTGAATTTTTATTATTGTGGCTTTTACCATAATGACCCTACCACGTTAGCTTTTTTGACGGTCTTTTGGAAGGCGTTAACGGTGGGGGGGAAAGTGGAACACAAAACCACGGTCAAGGGGGTTAAGTGGGTCATTTTAACTTTTTTTTGGGGGGGGGTTTAAGTGAGATTTGACCGAAGTTTCAGGGGGTGCTACAGTAAATAATATTATAATTTTTAATTAATTTACAATATAAAGAATTTTTATGCTTTATTTAATTATTGATTATTAGAATATTTAATTATATTTTTATTTATATGGAGGTGGGCTCCACTTGCCACTTCACCCACTCAATTGGTAGATAATGGTCCATGTGTACAAAATTACAAAAACACTCATGCCACATCATCAAAGTTTACATACTTTTGGATGGAGTTGACGGCATGAGGTAAAGTGGGTTACCAAACATCAGTCAAAGGATGAAAGTGGGCCATTTTGAATTTAAGGGGGCAAAATGGGATTTGACCGAAGTTTCAATAGGCATTTGTATAATTAAGCCAAGAAAGTTTGGAAGAGATGGAGGAGAGAACTGAGCTCTGCACTGAAGAGAAAAGGAGGAAGAGAGACGTGAATATACTTTGGGGCAATTGATGTAAATTCCAAAGTTGTTAAAGGGTATTTTCGGTAATATGAAAAATTCATTCATTAAACATCAGCGCAGCGCCTCCCCAAAACTTAAGCCTCTCTCGTCTCTTCTCTTACCCTGGGGTTTAGGGTTTTTCAGCTTTAGTCTCTGATTGAGGAGAAGGGGAAGAGAGAGAAAGAGAAAGAGAAGAGAGGAGTTTGCAGCCGCTGCACCAGAAAACCAGAGGTATGCCTTCAATTTCTTCCCGCCTGCTTCTATCCATTTTCTGCTGCTCTCCTCTGGCTAGGCGTATGCGTTTTCTTCTTTTTTTCAAAACTTTGCTTCTTGTTGTACGGTGAAGTTTTTGTATATGTATATAGATATGAAAATGAGTAAATGTAATTTTGGGAAGGTTAAAAAGAAGTGGTTTTGAAGATCAGCACGCCCCAATTTTGAATCCCGGCTCTATTATTTGCACAACAATTTAGTTTAATTACGAGTGTTTCGCATTTTTTTGGGTTTAGATTGTGATCATTGATTCTAATGCCAAATTGAAAAGTTTTCAATAGAACCTACAATTTGACATAAGGAATTACCCTGTTTCTTTTTCCTACTACTGAACTTTGTTTTCAAGTACATAAAAGAGTTAGCCTTTTGTGATTATAGGATATGTCTGATAGCGAAGGATATGACTCTGATGATTATCCATCAATCAGAGGCTCAGACTCAGAAGATGAAGAGAGTGGTTCCTCTGGAAATGAGGTTAGTGGAAATATGAAGAAAAAAAAAAGGTTTAAAGATGTAAAGATATGGCTTATTTTTCGATGCCATTTGAGCTGTTGTTTTGATTTCAAATATTATAAAGCTACACTATAGGTAAGATTAATTTCCATGATTTGGTAGAACAATGAAGCCAGTTTGATTCAAGAAGTTTGTTGTTTTGACTGTGTGTTAATATTTTTAACTATAACCATGGCAGGACGTTCTCAACACAAGCAACAATGATCACTTGGCCAATGATCATGGTAATGATGACGAAAGTGATAGTTCTGAACTTCATGAAGGAGTTGAGGAGAGTGATTCATCTGAAGATGAGGTCTGTTGTTTTATTCTTGTCATAAGCAAATTAAATGTGATTTTATATGATATAGTTACCTGAATGCACTCAAGTGACTTCTCTCTCCTTTTTTTCTGTTTTTAATAGGTGATTCCTCGAAATACAGTTGGTGATGTCCCCTTGGAGTGGTATCGGGATGAGAAACATATTGGTTATGACATTACAGGGAAGAAGATAAAGAAGAAGGAAAAAGAAGATAAATTGCAATCCTTTCTTGCTAGTGCTGATGATTCAAAGAACTGGTGTGCTTTTATTTCTAATATGTTGATAGCATTCAATTAAAGGATGTTAAATATCTACAATTTTCAAGTGTATATTGTTTACTCTGGTTTTGTTACTTTTCAGGCGCAAAATTTATGATGAATATAACGATGAGGATGTAGAACTCACGAAAGAAGATATCAAATCTATAAGTAGATTGCTCGAAGGAAAGGCTCCGCATCGTGACTTTGATCCTTATGCGGTCTGTAGATAAAACTCATCCAATTCTAATTAATATGATATTCTCATTGTTTAAATAGTAATATTCATATGACTGTAGTACATGGCTATTTATAGGAACTTTCTTACAAATGAATTCCTCATTTTAAGTTGAAGTAAAATTCTCCATGTTTGAAGTGCAGCCATATGTTGATTGGTTTAAATGGGATGACTCCAAGCATCCACTGTCAAATGCACCTGAACCCAAGAGACGATTCATTCCTTCAAAATCTGAAAGTAAACTGGTAAGGGATTTTTAATGTATTGCTCCTGTTGGGTGTTTTCTTTCCTTTTTCTTTCTTCTGTAGTTTTATTTTCTTTTCAACTCAGCTGCTGAGTTAAACAAATGTACTAGAGTTTGTTTGATTGGAAAACTTATTTTTATTATTATTTTAATTTAACATGGTTTCCTGTCCGTCTTCTGCACTTCTTCTGATGAATCTACAGGTTAATAAGATCAAGTTGGCCATTCGTAAGGGTTTAATTAAGCCTAAAAAGTCCAAAGAGGAGGAAGAAGAAGAAGAAAGTGTTTATCCCTTGTGGGGAGATGACTCTAATTCAATGGGAAAGAACGATCATCTATCTTACATTCCTGCACCAAAACCAAAATTGCCTGGTATTAATTTTCATCCATATTCTGAGGATTGTGAAAAGTCAGATATAGAGCAATTCTTTTTTGCTGGCATGAAGTAACTTGAGACTTGATGGAAAGCTTAAAATTATTTTTTGCATTTAGGTCATGAGGAGTCCTTCAATCCTTCTTTAGAATACATCCCAACACAAGAAGAGATCAATTCTTATCAGTTAATGTACGAGGAAGACCGTCCTAAATTTATACCTAAAAGGTAATATTCAATGTGACTTGAAATTTGGAATAATTGTAATTTGCTACTCTTTCTGATATTTCAGCATCTAATAAGCACACTATTATCATATTTGGTAGGTTTACATCTATGAGAAGCATCCCTGCATATGAGAATGCTGTTAAGGAATGCTTTGAAAGATGTTTGGATCTATATTTGTGCCCCAGAGTCCGGAAAAAACGCGTAAGTGAATAATCCTGATTGAGGAAAAGATTCCGTAGTGATTATTTGTTCAGGTTTTGATTGTTTTGCAAGATGTTTCAATTTGTACAAATCTACTTATAGTCATATGAGGACAAGGATCAAATTATTCAAAG